TTAGCTCCTTCATGGGTCCGACAAGACTCAGTAAACTGTCCCGACATTGATTCCGGTTAGCTCCTTCATGGGGTCCGACAAGACTCTGTAAACTGTCCCGACATTGATTCCGGTTAGTTTCTACAAGGGTCCAAGCAAGACTCCGTAAACTGTCACAACATTGTCTGCTACAACGGTCCGACACGACCCCATAAACTGTCTTCTACATCGGTCTGACCCGCCATCCAGTGTCCTCTACACCGTTATGACACACCCATACAGTGTCCTCTACAACGTTATGACACCCCCATACAGTGTCCTCTCAACGTTATGACACCACCATCCAGTGTCTCACCAGTGGTCTGACACGACCATACAGTGTCTCCTATCCTCTTTTATTTTTATGTATTTTCTTGTTTTGTTACTCTCTCCAAACTCAAGTTGGTTAGTTCCTATCCCCTTGAGTTTGCGGGGGGCTGTTAAAAATCTACCTACTCCACTAAACCTTCACCCACTTAAACCTACTCCACTAAACCTAACCCACTACACCACTACCACCTCACCTACTCCACTAAACCTAACCCACTACACCACTACCACCTCCACTTCACTACTCCTTACCTACTACACACTCCCCTCTTCTATATATAGGAATCATGAATCATTGTAATGTACAACAATATATCAATCAATAATACTTCAATTTTACACTCTCTTTCCCAGATTGTCACAAAATATAGGAGGACGCTTGACTAAATGCTGACTAGAAGTCTCTACTCTTATCAGAAAATATTCTACTGTCTAACTTTGTGCTGGACTCTAGAAGTTGCTGCTAGGACAACATATATTGATGAGTTACTAATGTTGATAACTTTTAAATTGGTAATATTTTTTCAGAGCTCCCGGAATCAATGCGGGACAGTTTACAGAGTCTTGTCGGACCCATAAAGGAGTCGCACCCTCAAAAGGTGTGCCAATCTTTCAAAAGGCGTGCATCAAAAGGCGTGCCCATTCATCAAAAAGGCGTGTCCACTTTATCAAAAGATGGCCATGAAAGGCGTGCCAGTTTGTCGGGCGTCTTGGCTTGCGCGCCGTTTTGTCGTCTGGTGGCAAGAGGCGCGCGATGCGCGTGGCTACCTCGGCTATTAAAACCAAGACGGAGGCTGAGGCTTGAAAGCATAACTAACCAGTGGAAACCTCTTCGTTCTCTGAGAGAGATTTCTGAGGAGATACTTCTGTATACTCTGGTGTCTCTGTTTTCTGAGAGAGATTTCTGAGAGAGATACGCTGTACCCTCTGTTTTCTGAGAGAGATTTCTGAGAGAGACACTCTGTAACACTCTGTTGCCTAGAAAATGGCTTCATCGTCTTCCCGCGGGCTGCCTGGCACCCTCTTTGTCCCGACCTCAACGAGTCGACGGAGAGAGAACTTGGTGCGGCGGCACTGGAAACTCAAACAAGGCCCCGGGTTTGCTCCGTTTGAAACTTTCCGATGCGGTCGGTGGAGCAAAGATGGCAGTACAGTCGGATGTGGAGGCAATCAGTAACTTTGAAGGCACTGTGGTGGAAAGCATGACGGCGGTCACAAAACCTGTCGAACCGGCTGCAGAGTAGGACAAATGAGCGTGGAGCATTTAAACTCCCAACTGGCTCTGCTCCAACGCATGTATAAGGATGCGCGAGCAGAGATAAGTGTGCTGAAGGCAGAAATAAGGAGCTGAAGCGGAAGCCACCGTGATGTTCCGTTTTGGAGGTCCGCCATAATGCTGCAGTGGAGGAGCAGGGAGTAGTGATCGTGCCCAGTGGAGTGGGAAACACGGAGGCAACACCGCAAGGACCGCCCAGGACGGAGGCAAGAAAGAAAGACCCGGCGGCAGAGTAGAGAAAAATCTCCGCCTGTGGATGTGGGTGTTTGGTGTGTTTTCGTTTTGTGTGGTCGTTTTTTTTTTTTTTTTTTTTTTTTTTTTTGTGTTTGGTGGAAATTGTGAACGGGGTTGATCCCGGAGATGAAGAAAATATGGTTGGTATGCAAAGCTACTATATGGGATGAATGGAATTGGAAAGAGATTAAAAATAATGGAAAAGAAAAATAAAGAAAAGAAATAATAAAAATATATTGGAAATTAAAAATGAAAGATGGGGGAAATAAGGAAAGTGGGTTGGAGAAAATAAATAAAAATAATGGAGTGTAAAATCAAACGGAGGAGAGATGATGTTTTTATTTTTTTTTATTTTTTTTATTTAATATATAAAAGATATATATATATATATATATAAAATAAAAGAAAAGTGAAAAATAATGTGGGTGGAACCAGCACATGGTGTTGGTTTGATGATTCATTATTTTAATAAATATATATATATTAAAATAAAAGTAAAATGGAAAGAGCGTGATGAGAGAACTTTAAAACTTTTACTTTTGCTTTGGCATGGAAAGGTGGGATTCCTGTGATAAATTCAAATAGGATAATCCCCACTGACCACCACAAAGAATGAGCCCACGTGACAGCCCAGACCAACGCACCCACATGGAACTTTGTCGACGCACAAGTTCATTTTTATCCTTCTTCTTCTCCTCAATTTTCTTTTCTTTCATCCTCCAATATTCAAGCTTCTCAGTTCTTTCTTTCAATAGGGTTTTTCGGAACTCTGCCTCAGCGGCCTCTCGTTCGGCGGCTTTGGCCTTCTTGGTGGCTGCTTTGGCGGCCTTACGCTCCTCGTGAGCGATCCGAATAGACTCTCTCCTGGCATCATCCCTCCTCTGCTTCTCCAGCCGCTGCAACTCCATTTCCTGTATATACTCCTTGCGGACCTCCTTCATCTTCTTCGCGTACTGGCGCCTCAACTGAAGGAGTTTAGCCTCGGCCTCTTTGGGGTCCTTTGGAGGGTTCCAGCTGTTGAGGAAAGTGTTAGGTTGGTGGCGGGACTGGTGGTTGTTGTGGTTGGAGGTGGCGGCGGCGGAGGTGGAGAGAGATCGGAGAGGGGATTTGAGTATTGGTGATCGGAGGAGGCTACGTGTCGCCGCCATTGTTACGGAACTCTCGACTCTGGGGAGGCTCGTGAGTGTGAGAGAGAGAGAGAGAGAGAGTTCTGTGCTTGGACAGCAGCTGGGGAGGAAGCTCGAGCTATTCTCCTAATGTAATGCAGTGCCTGCATTAAAAAAAGTCTTAATTAGTTCCTCCAAAATTTGAAATGATGTTTTAACTTTGAAAAGGAAAAAGCGAAGGCTATTACAGTTAAGATTGCTTGTTCAACAGCAAAGTTCAGACCATAAAACATGACAACTACAGTGAATAGGCCGACACATTCATGCTTAGAATGGAGTGAATAGGCCAGACTCTTGAAATATTACCAATTTAAAAGTTATCAACATTAGTAACTCATCAATATATGTTGTCCTAGCATGCAACTTCTAGAGTCCAGCACAAAGTTAGACAGTAGAATATTTTCTGATAAGAGTAGAGACTTCTAGTCAGCATTTAGTCAAGCGTCCTCCTATATTTTGTGACAATCTGGGAAGAGAGTATTTTCAAAAAGTAGGCAAACAAGTAGGGTCATGGCATCAATGGTACTTAGCATTGGTAACAATGTATTTTTTTTATTTTTTTAAGAGATAGAGAGGATCAAGTCATTAACATGATTATATCATACATCTTATAAATATACAGCAGGACTGTGCAAGAATTGCATTGCTTATGCAAAAAGCAAGATGTGATTAAGTCTTATGAACATTCGTCACTTACAGCAACTGTCATCTTCTGTGCGACAAGTTTGGATGATTCATAAAGAGGCCGAAGCTCCTCAGGAGCAGTCAATGCCTACAAGGATAAATGCAAATTAGCTGTGGCTAAGAAAAAAGATCAAGAATTGAAATGCGATGAATCAAACCTCAAGATCCAGATGATCAACAATGTGAATGGTTGACCCTCCCCCCTCAAAAGGCCGAACAAAATAGCCACTGGCCAGCATCTTGGCTCTTGTTAATTGTGAAGCAACAAATGGGTTTGGACCAGTACCATAATCAGAGATTGATTTCTCACATACCTTTATATATTCATAGGAAATATAGTTATGAGGATATTAGTAGGTCTCACTATAGTTTAATTTAATCCTTGTAAATTTCCGAACAAATTATCTAAAGAGGATCATTTAACAGGAAAAATTGAGCATTTTTTATCACAACCTTTTTTGTAGCAGAAGCATTTACCGGTTCTCTAGAGAAATATTTAGGTCTGGAAAAACAATTAGAGGGTTTCAATTGATCATTTCCAAAGAATTAGATGGTCTTCCTACACGGGCCTTTTATTTGGTAGGTAACATCAAAGACATTTAGAAGTGTGCCACTAACTTGGCCATTAAGATAAAAGCAAATCAACTAGGATAAAATTTGAATAAAAAAAAAACAAGGAAATCAGAAGTAGTTCTTCATATAACCAAAATATGAAAAAACAAAAGAAAAGAAAGCCTAGCAGTGGCTTTCACATTATTGTAAAATGGCTTATTAACACAAAATAAGATAATCTTATAAAATAAAATAAAAAATTATAAATATGATAATAATTCCAAATGACTTGTCCTGACTATAAGTTATTTTGCTACAAAAGAAAACTCAATAATCATATACACTACTTGAAGGCTGAAAGAAATTAATTAGACCTGGAGGGGGTGAAAAAACAAAAACTTGATGGTCCACTGATCCCAGTGGGCTTAGAAGGGGCACCATTGAGTTGAAATCTTAACAAAAATTGTAATCAACTTAATCTAATTGTTAAATTTTTATTTGATTGTAGGACTAAAAAATTAGTGTGATGTAAAAGTTATATTGAAATATAAGCTCAAGTTAACCTATCATTATCTTTATTGTTATTAATTTAATTTTATGTATGATGATTATCACGGTTTAAAAAATAATCGCACGTCCTCATAGACTATAAGAACAAATTTTTTATCAAGAAGCACACACAAAAGGAAGGTGAATAAATAATATACAGTTGTTTCTATATATCACTTTTTTTTCACTGTTTTGAATAACTGCATTACATGACAATATTTTATTAGTTGTCATTAATTGTGTAATAATTATTTGTAAATAAATAAACCAATTATGAATATTCATATAAGAGGTGATATAAAACAATGATAAAAAATCATTGACATGTAACATTTCTCTAATATAAAATTTATAAGAATTTTTTTAGCATAATTAAACATTTAAAGTGACAAATTAAACAGATTTTTCTGGGAAAAAAGTAGAGAAAATAGTGACATAAAATTTTCAGAAAATTACTTGAAAGGATTGAATTGAAATATATTTTTTTGATAGAGGCAAAAGTATAATTTTGGAAAAGTTGGGGGGAGGGGGGGGTGACACCCTCCCCCCCCCTCGGCGGGGCCTTATGTGCCTCCGCCCGCCTGATCCATGCCTTTTCAATCAGGACCACCGTATATTTCCAGTTCCAACTCAGTAAATTATACAGGAACACTAAAAACCTAGCTATTTGCATATGACATTCACGATTAAAAGCCAAATGATGAGTTGAGAAGCAATAAAGAGACTATAAAACCATGCATCCTCACAAAGCTTAAGTTTCATTCTAAATTTTACTTAATATGAAATCATAATGGCAAGTCGGACCATACCACAATGCTGCCATCCTCGAAAGTTGAAGTATATCTTAATGTCCAGAAGTCACGTGCAGGAACCAGCGTTGTAAGAGCATAAAACTGAACGCAATTATAAGCATCTTATACATTAATAACAATAATCATAAAAATAGTAGTAATAATAACAACAAAACTAACAATAGAAATAGAACAATATTGACCACCAACATAACAACAAGAAACATAACAATAATTATATAATGATAATTACATAAGAATGCAACCTAATATCTATAACGGTGGCGCTGTAAGAACCTTTGGTGAGAAGTAAATTTTAATATATTACTAATTTTGCTCACTTGTGTGTAGATCAGTTCAATTGTCCCCCCATTTCCAGCTGGAAACTTGGCAAAGACTTCTAGGTTTCGACAATCTTGAAACCAAGATGACCAGTCTTTTAGGATCTCCAGTATCTATCAAAGAATCAAAAGTGGAATACAGTTATCAATGAAATAATAAACAAGTAGAAGAGAAAATTACAAGAATATCAAGAATTCATGAAGACAATTTGTAAGTTCACCTTGGCCTATTTGTTGAATTTCTCCTATTCACAGTAGCAATGCATAATTTATCAATCAAAGTGAATGCAACTAAAAACATGAACTAATGTTTGTCCTCATTCCACTACACACCATCCACTACACCTACATCTGTATAAGGAACCATTTGTAATAGACAGAAAATAACAATATATATCAATCAATAATACATAAATTTTTACATGGTATCAGAGCAAGGTTAAGAAATTAATATTCTTCGCTTCACCGGCGGGCGGCAACCTCGCCTTGACCGCCCGCCGGACCTCAACCTATTCCGCTTGAATTTTCTACACATACCTTGATCACTCTGCATCTCCTCCTCCTCCTCCATCATCGTTCGCCGGATGATTCATAGCTGACGATAAGGAGATCTCTGCCCCAGTTGTTGATGCAAATGATGCAGTCACTGGTCACATAATTTCCACTACTATTGGTGGCAAAACTGGAGAACCCAAACAGACCATCAGCTATATGGCCGAGCGTGTTGTTGGGACGGGGTCATTTGGGATTGTTTTTCAAGCAAAATGCTTGGAAACTGGAGAGACAGTGGCGATTAAGAAGGTATTGCAAGACAGAAGATACAAGAACCGTGAACTGCAATTAATGCGCACAATGGATCATCCGAATGTGGTTTCTCTGAAGCATTGTTTCTTTTCCACTACGAGTAAAAATGAGCTTTTTCTCAACTTAGTCATGGAGTTTGTCCCCGAGACCATGTATCGGGTTTTGAAGCATTACAGCAATATGAACCAGACAATGCCTCTCATCTATGTGAAACTGTACACTTACCAAATTTTCAGGGGGCTTGCATATATGCACACTGTTCCTGGAGTTTGCCACAGGGATTTGAAGCCTCAGAATGTTCTGGTTGATCCTCTTTCTCACTAGGTCAAGATTTGTGATTTTGGAAGTGCAAAAATGCTAGTGAAGGGTGAAGCAAACATATCATACATATGCTCACGTTTCTATCGCTCCAGAACTCATATTTGGTGCCACAGAATATACAACCTCAATTGATATTTTGGTCAGCTGGTTGTGTTCTTGCTGAGCTTCTTTTAGGCCAGCCATTGTTCCCTGGAGAAAGTGCAGTGGACCAGCTTGT